GGAGGATGCAGGAAAAGGCTCCCCCGCTGCGCCTGGAGCGCGAGGTGGGTCTCGCGGGGGCCGTGGCCCTGATCGCGGGCACCATGATCGGCTCCGGGATCTTCATGTCCCCGCAGACCGTGCTCGTGTCCGCGGGCAGCGCGGGCGCGAGCCTGCTGGTGTGGGGCGCGTGCGGGCTGCTGGTGGCGCTGATCTCGCTGTGTTACGCGGAGCTGGGCACGTGCGTGCGCGCGTCCGGGGGCGAGTACGCGTACATCCTGCGCACGTGCGGGCCCGTGCCCGCCTTCATGCTCGTGCTCAGCTCCGCGCTGCTCGTGCGTCCCGCGGGGGTCGCGGGCATCGCGCTCAGCTTCGCGCAGTACGCGCTCGCGCCCTTCTACCCGGAATGCGCGCCCCCGACGCCGCTGCTGAAGGGCGTGGCCGCGGCCGCCGTGCTCGCGCTCGCCACCGTCAACTGCATGGACGTGCGCGTGTCCATGCGCGTGCAGGTGCTGTTCCTGGTGGCCAAAGTGGCGGCTCTGGCCGTGATCGTGGTGGGGGGGCTCGCGCTGCTGGCCACCGGGCGCGCGCACAGCTTTGAAGGCTCTTTTGAGGGCACCAACGTGGGCATCAGCCCGCTGGGCATCGCCTTCTACCAGGGCCTTTGGGCCTACGACGGCTGGAACAACCTCAACTACGTCACCGAGGAGCTCCGGCGCCCAGAGGTGAGCAACTAAATAAATAAAAAACTGCTTTAAAAGCCACAAAAAAAGTTTTATATTACCCCAACAACAGCTTTAAAAGCCACAATTCCATTTTAAAAGCCACAAAAAAGTTTTAAAATCCACAAAAACAGTTTTAAAAGCCACAAAAATCAGCTTAAAAACCCAAATCTAGTTTTAAAAGCCACAAAACAGCTTTAAAGACACTAAAAACAGGTCTAAAAGCCACAAAACAGTTTTAAAAGCCACAAAAATCAGCTTAAAAACCCAAATCATAGTTTTAAAAGCCACAAAACAGCTTTAAAGACACTAAAAACAGGTCTAAAAGCCACAAAAACAGGTCTAAAAGCCCCAAAAATCGTTTTAAAAGCCACAATAAACAGCTTTAAAGCCCCATAAACAGCTTTGGGATGGAGGAAGGAGCTCCCGGCCTACAGAGCAGCAGCTCCGTCTGTCTCCATAAACTCCTCCATCAAACCTATCGCCATCCTCCAGAACCAGAGCTCCACGTTATGAAGCAGAACGGGACCATCTGACACAGAACGGAGCCAAAGGCAGAAAAACATCCAGAGAAGAGCTCCGGGACGTCCTCTAGGAAGCTCAGAGATGGAAACAGCTCAGAGATGGAGGAGGAAACAGCTCAGAGATGGAAACAGCTCAGAGATGGAAACAGCTCAAAGATGGAGATGGAAACAGCTCAGAGATGGAGATGGAAACAGCCCAGAGATGGAAACAGCTCAGAGATGGAAACGGCTCAGAGATAGAAACAGCTCAGAGGTGGAAACAGCTCAGAGATGGAAACAGCTCAGAGATGGAAACAGCTCAGAGATGGAGGAGGAAACAGCTCAGAGATGGAGGAGGAAGCAAATGTCACGGGGTGGATCTTAGGGAGGACTCAGTCACGGAAATATGAAGTTTGAAGGGTTTAAATTAACAAAAACACACTCAAAAGGAGTGGATGCTGACAAAGTTCAAAGCAAGGCTGTGAAAAAAAACTATGAACAAAGTATCAAAGCAATAAAGTTAACAAGACTGTGGCATGGCTGTGGCAAAAATAAGACTATGGCAAAGTGCAAATAAAGATTAACAAAACTGTGGCAAAGTATCAAAACAAGACTATGGTAAAATATCAAAGCAAGATTAACATGGCTGTGAAAAAACATGGCTATGACAAAAACAGTAAACAAGACTATGGCAAAATATCAAAGCAAGATTAACATGGCTGTGAAAAAACATGGATATGACAAAAACAGTAAACAAGACTATGGCAGCAGCTCAGAGATGGAGGAGGAATCAGAAACTACAGCAGAATCTCTGCTCTCAGCTCTGATATTTTATACCATTTTAGCCCCTTTGCTTCTTTCTTTGTGTCACAAAATACCAAAAAGTAACTCACAAACAGAAACTATAGCAGAACCTCTGTTAGGATGTCTAAACATACAAATTTACCAACATAGAAAGTCAAATTTGATCAATAAATACATACATACATACATACATACATACATACATACATACATACATA